AAAGGGCATAAGTTTATGCAAACTGGATTTCTTCACTAAGTAACCAACAGCATGCTGGAAGGCTCACTCAGGGTTCCCTTGCTCTGCCTCTCTCTGGGGCAACCTCTCTGTTTCTTCAGTTTACCGTTCATGTCACGACATGTGTTTATTTCAGGAGGATCCCCAGAAATTTCTTTGCTGTTTCAAGGCAGAGGCCACAGATCCTAAGTGTTTATTTGAAATGCAGTTAAAATACAGCACATTTTGCGATTGTACAATAACTCTATCTTAAGTGTAACTTGTTCACATTTACATAATAAACTTAGTGTAACTTTGACAGGCATCACATTCATTACTTTATGCCTTTAAACATGGGCCAAGTGGGGCTTGTATAAAGGATTTTTTATCTTACTTTTTATTCTAATCCACAAAATTGAATTGGCCAATTCATGTACTCTAAAACTATTTTAACTAACTGAAATAATATTTTCTTGGACAATTGTATGTATACAGGTGTCCTTCATAACCCCTAAGTGCTATCAGTAACTACATCTGCCAAACCTTCTATGGAAAACCGAACACAGCTTTGGCAGTATGAGCAAGAAAACTACTTGCAGTAGATTATTTCATAGCTTGAGCAAGACAGGAATAGGGCACAAGATCATGACCTATACTCTCAAAATTCAAGCCTTGGTCTGCTCCCCAGGTCTTGGGGTAACTTACTGTCACTGTATGGAAGCCATCTAGTTTGTAAGAGAGTTAAGATTTGCCAATTCATTCCAGCTGAGATCTTGAAAGAAGCCAACAGGAACAAGCACCCAACTGTCATTCAAAACTGTAAAGTCTGGAGGAGCCAGCCTCACTTTCTTCATCGGCAGATGTGAAAGCTTTCTCCTTGGACAAGTTCCATTTCAATCTGCTTGCCACAGAAGCAGAAGACAACCTTGATTTTCTAACATGAAGTGTTTAGATAAAAGACATGAAACAAAGCAAATGGGGCTGCAAGACCCCACTAGGATAACGAAAATCATACAAAGACTTTCTTCTCTTGGCCTCTTTCTCCCTTCCTATTTTTCCATCTCTACAGGAGTCAGCGGGAGTTTTATCCTCGCAAGTCCTTTCCATTCCCATCAACACTGTTGTCTTCACAATGACTGCCTGCCTCGTCATTTCTGTGTTCGTTGTTTACAACAGGAGAATCCTACACTGTTCCTCTCAATTACATTTTAAAAACAAAATGTAAACACGAACATTCTGCTGTTATTTTGGGCAAAAAGAAAGCTTTATTGGTTTGTTGGTGTCTGAATGAAAAAGACAGAGGAGAGGAGGGAGAAAAAGAGGAAGGATAGGGTATGAAGAGAACAAAAATGTAAATAAAAAGCCCTGGAAAACCTAAACGAGCCATCTTTCATGCTGTGCTAATTTTGGCTGATGAGCAATACAGGTTTGACTCCTCTTGCTCAGTGTGGTAAAAACAAAAGGTATGTGTCACATTATGTGAGGACATTTTTTTTTCCAAATTTTTATCTGTGCCTTGGGAGCTCCTGGAGACATTAATTAGTTCCTTCTGCCCTCCTGAAAGGGCTGCAGATCTGGCATTATCACTATATATTTACTTGGAAATTAAATGTGGCTCCTACAGTGTATGACCCAAGTTTTAAAAACAACTAATCCTTTTCCTAAGCATTGTTTAGTGTGATTTCAAGATAACAAGACCGCTTTATGAAAGCACATCCTCACCTAATAGGCTGAATTGTTAATTTAAATTATTCTGTTTTCTGGCCACAGACAAGTTTACATATTCAATACTGTCCACACTCAGATAAGTTTAAAAAAACACATGCTTTAAAAAAAGAACAATCCTGAAACATCCACAACTGTGGTTTTGACACAGTTGCAAGATACTGTAGGAAGCTAATTTATTCCATAGCCCAGCAGAGGAAAGACCCTCCAAACCCTGGCCAAGGATTTGCTAGAGAAAAGTGAGAAAACACAAGGCTTTGAACCATTTGTTTGGATGATTCCTCTAGCCCTTGGTTCATGCACTAACCCTGACCCCATGTTATTACACGCTTGAGAGCAGCACACTAAAGTGAGCCAAAGGGATGCAGAGGGAGGGATGGAGGGCAAGGAATAACTAAGTGGGATGATATATGTAAGAGCACTTTTAACAGACGGTTGTACGCGAGTCTCTTTACATTGCACACATTTCTGAATGTAGCCCGTACACTCCTATTTGACTGTGCAGCACCTCATGTGCTGCACTAGAACACAATAAATCAGTACAATTATTTAGGCATACAAATAACTTTTAGAGAATTGTCTGTCACTGGTAAATCAGAGAGCACCAAAACAGAGTTACTCACATGCTGCAATATGGGATATGTCTGTAGTAGCATCTCACACCCTAAAAAGAGAACTAAACACCCACAGTTTACCCATCTAATGCCTTTGCTTCTCTTTACATCTAGTAATAAGAAAATGGCATTCTGGCAGAAAAAAACTGTGCAGCAGGTCCTCTTTTACAGTGGCGCAGGCTAGCAACGACCACAAGGATCTCAGGCACATCAAAAGGAAAACAGCCTACCAGACAGTGGGAGAAAATTCTCTCACAGAGGACAGAAATTGTCTATTGTGTGTTGGGAGTTTTTGCAGCAAAACCAAATTCAAAGCCAAGTGGAGAGAAAACCATATCAGCAAAGCATACGGAATTACACATTTATCTTTGCAAATATCAACTTATTTTGTAAACTTTTTTTTTTTTTTTTAAAGAGAATAAAACCTGCCCTTGCCTGCTGATGAAGACGAAGGTTGTCTCAAATGCACTAAGTGGCCAGAGAATGATGCAAATACCTTAAAATGTAATAAAGTTTTTGGCAGGTCTGTTGATGTCCGGGAATTTTAGTACTTACATTGTTCTATCATTTTGGAAATCTAATAAGCACTTCTTCACCAGACACTGGTGCCGAAGACTACTCTGGCTTGCAGTCTGTGTTGTTATTGTAAAATGAGGCTCTGAGCTACTGCTCTCTCAGGACTATATATCTTTACTGCCAACATTTCATACTATTTGGCCAGACAGTAATCCTTCACTTGCCTTCCTTAAAGCAGTCCTGTCCCATTTTTTTTGTCAGAAACTAGTCAGTCATTTCTGGTTTGCTGAGGTCTTCTGTACCTTTCTCTCTCCCTATTCTCACAAGTAAACAGCACAAAAAGCTGATTACATGCTCTGTTGCTGTAGCATTCATTACTTTCTGTGCCAAAGCCCTTGCATTTTAAAATACTTGTGATATTGGAATACTTGATTAAGAGAGCTAGAGAATTAAAATCTGCCACTCTTGCCATGGAAAAAATAAAAGGCAGTGACTGACTAAGAAGTCCAGGTAATAGCTTCCACCTTAAAAATGCAGAATGTTGAATTTTTACTCTTGTCCTCTTAATATTTTTAAAGGAATACTAATTGTAAACATTATGCAAAAGTAGGTGCAAAAGTATTCAGGACAATATTATGTTTTTGTGTTTTATGGGTACTTTTGAAATGGAAACAGAACACTTGTATTTTTATAGAAAACATAATTTTCAGTAAATTGCTACAATGAGAGAGTATGCTTACACTCTTCACAGTTACTTTTATGATAGAGAATCATCGTAATTCAATTAGGGTCAGTTCTGAAACTTAAGCTTCAGTCTAACTAGTTGCAGACAGTTGCTTTATGTAGACCAAAGTCTGATGACGCCTAATATTTTCACAACCACACTAGTTAACTATCTTTTAGTTAGCATAGAGGGTCGACTCGACTCATAGCATTTCCTTAATACGAACTGTGGGAAGTACACGGTAATTATGCACAGTACGCTACTGTGACACAGAGCAGTAATAACAGACTTCTGCCATACCTATTAAGCTCAAGATTTTGCCATGGAATTATTTTAATTTAACAGGTAGTCAAAGAAAACTTGGTGTACATAAGTTTTTTCCAATAACTACAAACATTTAATCATTCCCATGATACCAAGAGAGTTTTATTAATCTCTTCTGGGCTGTTGAGCTTTTCAAACACAACCAATTTCCCCACTTGTCTTAAAGACTTCGTTCTATAGCAAACTTGACCTCTATAAAAATTAAACCTATTACATGGAAAAAAGGGAATTGAGTTTGACATAGGAGAGTTTGACATTACCACAGTTGGCTGTGCAATAAACCCCTTCTCGATCAAGTGTTCTTGATTATTAGCATGTAGTGACAAAGCAGTCTATAATTGCCATGAAGTACTATCTATTCAAGGCATACAAAAATATTTCATCTGCCTCCAAAGTGCTTTCCATCCCTCCCTCGTTCTTTCTTTCCTTCCTTCCTTCTTTCTCTCTATTGCTCCCTTGTTTCTTTCAATAATTTTCCTAGTAGTCTTCTACAGGCATGCCAGAAGCTTCCAACTTGTGTCTCACCTGGCAGCTTCAAGGACATGGCTGTCTATGAAATGTTACTAGCTACTCAGATTTTTTTTTCCCCTCCCTCTGCCAACACAGTTTTACGATCATGAATCAGACCCACAGTCCTGTCATGGTTGTAGAAGGACCAACGTGAAGGACTCGTGCCTCTTTCTGTATATGATTCACAACAATTAAATATCTGTATGCAAACACCAGTATTTTAACACATTCAGCTGAAGTAACTGAAGCAAGCTGCCTGTAGCATGCATGCTGACAATCTGAAAGATTAACCCAGCCTGCTCATTATGTATTTCAACACATATTACAACAGTCAAGCACTCACACACAATGCCATCAGGAATAATGTAACTGGATATTTTCTGGAGAGCTTTGCAAGGCTAGATTGAGGATTCTTCACTTGCTTAACAGTGTGTTTTTATAAGCTAATTTTCCATATTATGTTTACAGCACTGGCTTTTCAGGCTGTTTAACCTCCACTACACCATACAGCAGCACTGCTTAAAAGTATTTTGTAGGGAGAATGCAGACTTATTACAGATACGGAGGAGGAGGCTGCAACAGGAGAATACCTGAGAGTGCTTGGAGACCCAGTGGCGCAAGACATTTAGGACACGATTCGTGGCCGCTCTGCGTATTATGAACTCTTTGTCACACATACGTTCAGAATTGTTAAATCCTGTGTGGAAGAAACACATATTAAAGTTAATAGAGTTAGAAAAATTTCAAATACAGTATGAATAACTTGAGTAAATTGAAAGCTCTTAGGACACTTACATGTAATAAAAAGGAAGATGCCTATCTAGACTTTTTATAGAATATTTGCCTGCATCATTAACATCAGGTGTACCTCCAGGATGGAAGAAAATAACATTAAAAACCAGAACTAGAACAAAAATGTACAGGCCTGTGACCAAGCAGACTACAGAAGGAAAGCGAGTATGATTTACAAAGGGGAAAGAGGTGAATTTCAGAAGTGGTAAAGAAATAGGGAAGGGTAGTAGTTAAAACGTAGAGGAAAAGAAAGTAACATAGTTTATAAGAGTAGTATTGTACAGCCTCTACTAGCCAACAGATACTTCAAAGAAGCTATTTGGTGTTTTACCACTGGGGTGACAAGAAGGTGGGAAGGTATACAGGAAACACATTTACAGACCTATCTGGCTGAAAACAAAGATTTGCCAACTGCAGCATATCCACACATATCTTGTAAAGACAACTTTTCTTTTTAGTCAGCAATATTTACTTATACAGAAAAGGTTTTAAAAACAAACAAGAAAGTTTCTTCCTACATTCACACTATTGCTTTTTTCTCTTCTCATTCTGCTTTAGGTCTATCATAAACACAATCTGTATGATAAAATAATGATTACATTACTTTAATAATAATAAAATTTTTACTTTAAACCCCTAATTTATTTTTAAATTATAACTCTGAAGATCCACTTGAGAACTTTATATTTTTCTAAGTTTCTATCAGATTTGATCTTACAATGTGCTGCTTTCCATTTCACTCAGTGCAGAGTCCAAGGAACAACTGGAAACAGTCTTCCATATGACCAGTACTTCACGATTTTTTTGGCATAACAGCTGTTTTAAAGCCTATGTATTTTTATAAATAGCAGAGGCAGATTAAACTTCTATTTATTCAGTGAGAAACCCATTGGAGATATTCTTAGAGGCTAGTATTAGTTTTGCTCTATTTTTATCAAAGACAATAAAAAAACCCCCCACAAATTGCTGCTCTGTATTTTTGAAGGATAAACAGGAAAAGTTTAACTGCAGACTTACATCTTTTAATGCAGGTTGGACCCCAAACGCCCGACATATTTTCTACGCTTATGTTTCATGGAAGTTTTTTACACTATGCCATAGTACACTGTAGTTGGCATCTAAGATTCAGTATCAAAGGAAGTTTCATATTAAAATGTCTTCAGGAGTTTCATTGCCCATAAACAGCAAAGTAAACAAAATCTCTGAGGCTTTACTCAGTAAAAGGTAACCTAGGCAACATTTTGTGTGTTAATTTTCTGTGCGTTTCACAGTTAACCTCTTGCAGAAGCAATTAGGCATACACATTATAAACTGTTCAATTAGCCACTTAATTGCAGCAATGAAAGTCACAATGAAAATTATAAATTAAAGCAGTGTAGTCTTTATGAAAGTAACATCAAGAAAAAGAAGTTTCAATAAGCTGGAAAGAAAACACAGAAGGCTACAGAGACAGTTTTCAGTTAGCTGCAAAGAGAATAAAAAGAGCAAGAAAGGAAAAAGGAAAACCTCCAGCGATCACTTCAGCAAACTTCTATGGTTTTCAGAATTTAATCAATTTTTAAGCAGCAATTAGCTTGTTGTAGAGAATACGCAACACGTTCATTCTGATCCACATTGTCAGTACTTGATGTCTTGAACCTATAAATGGAGATCTCCAGTCTTGTAAGAAAAGAACTTAGCTCAGTGTAGTTGCCTATGTGAATTTAACCCCAGGTGGGTGATTCATTGTACATCTTCAGGCACAATACTTTGCATAAATAACAAAATAAGCAAAATGCTCTCAAAATAAAACTGGAAATCTATTAACTCCATTCTGACCTTGTTTTTAAGGTAAACACCATTTGTAATTTATTGTTCTTTATAGAAACAAAAAAGAATCTACAAGTGCCCAAGCAACACCCACTGTCCAAGAATTAAATCTGCAGATTGATTTTGAAGAAGATCATGTTTATGACATTTTCTTGTGGACATGGAATGGAGTGGAATATCCACCGTTCTCTGTATCTCTTCCATTTGGATGTCTGGCTTTACCTCAAGGTTTCCCTCAGGACTTGTTTTGAGTAACACTATACCTCAGATAGGCTCCATATTCAGTAGCTTTGACAACAGCTCAACAGAGTTAGGCCTTAAGCCAGAGCCAGACAAGCTAGACAAGAATACATGGAGTCCTTGGACCTCCCTGGGGCAACAGAAGCCGGAGCTGGTAGGGAGACACTGGAACAGGTTGCCCAGGGAAGTTGTGGATGCCCCATCCCTGGAGGGGTTCAAGGCCAGGCTGGATGAGGCTTTGAGCAACCTGGGCTAGTGGGAGGCGTCCCTACCCATGGCAGGGGGGTTTGGAATGGGATGATCTTTGAGGTCCTTTGCAACCCAAACCGTTCTATGATTCTATGATTTGCAGTATTCAGAAAAAGAAACCTCTGCTTGTACAATCTACCACGCTATTTCCAAGAAAACACTTCTTCATAGACATGGAAGGAACATGGAGCAGTTCAGGACAAAGGGTTTGATTATACAGCCACATTAAAACGAGGTACCAATGTTCTGGGCAATGCCAGGGACTTGCACTACAGCAGAGATGAAAATGAAGAACTGCCCCTTGTGAAGTCAGAGGTGTGCAAGTCATCATTGGCTGGTGCAGAGAGATCAGAAGCAGCAAAGCAGATGATCTTGTCTAGGTCTACCACTAGAAGACATCGCAAAGTGAGGACCTGTTGAATCATGTTTAGTACACTGCTGGCTCTCAGCATTTTCATCCTGAACCCACCTGCCACTGACGCAGGAGCCAGGACTGACAGCATGTGGTAGAGGTGATTACCATCCACATCATTAAAGTGCCCATCAGGCACAGATTAATTAGATTAGTCTCAAAATTAGAAGTTATTTAATAACTGCTACTATTCACTAAATAAGCTTAAGTGTATTTACATACAAAAGTTTTTCACTAAAACTGCAGAAAATAGCTACCATTTTTTAATCACATATACATTAGAAGATTACATAAATGTGAAGTTATGCTTACATAGGTACTGCAAATATATTCAAAGCTAATGTGACAGCTCACACACAAGTCACTAAGTCAGTATAGAAATAGCTAGAAAACCTCACCATTCAAAAGTGCTAGATTGTATCATTCCTGATACTAAGAAAACCAGGTCATATTATTAATCTAAAGTAAAGTTAGTGAATATTGATGGTAAAAACAAAAGAAATCTCAGTAGTTCTTACAGTCACTGAATAGATCTTTTCATTAACCAAAAGGTGAAAACAAACAAGAAAAAAAATTTCTCAGGAACATGCAAATTGCACAAAAGAGTGGTATTAATTTCAGTGTCTTACAAAACTCAGAAAAAATGGAAAAAATGTCAACTTCAAATAAGTAAGATCAATAATCATTGTTACTTTCTCATTTTCTAACTTCAATAGAAAAGTTCTACACTAAAAGCTAAGCAAAAAACAATGAAGACTTATTGCTACAGCTGCATTAACACAGGAGCAGCAACACGCAAAAAGGACTTGGCTAGCATTGGTTTTGTTCCTCCTAACTTTCAAGCCACACAGACTTTGAGACAACAACTTCAAAGGGGAGATAAGCGGACCAAGATCTGATTAGGTGTTCTGCTTTAATGCACTCAGCCAACATCGAAGACCACCCAGCAGCTCGCTCACCCTCTGCCCTCCTGGGGATGGGGGAGAGTATTAAAGGGGGAAAGGGAAAATAGACTCATGGGTTGAGATAAAAACAATTTAATAACTGAACTACAACAAAACTAAAATTAATAAGGTTAATAACAATGATAATAATAGGAATATATGCAAATATATAAATATACAAGTGATGCACAGTGATATTGCTTACCACCCAATGACCAAGGCTCAGCTCATTGTCAGCTAATGATCCTGGAGCAGGGAGAGTCCCAAAACCTCAATCCCAGAGCAGAGATAAGAGCCTGAGTATCCATGGCATGGACGGCAGAACTTCCAGACAGAGCCTTATCTCTATCCTGGGCATGGCATGCACGATATGGAATAGAGCACTGGCCAATTTGTGTCTCAGTTCTAAACCTGAGGTTGAATCCCAGGCTAGTCATCAGGGCTGTGCTCCCTCCCAGCTTCTCCTGCACCTGAGACACTGGCACAGCAGAGAAGCTGAAAAGTCCTTGACTGTCCTGGCAGCAGCTATAAGCATCAGTATGTGATCAGCCTTCTTCTTAGCACAAATCCAAACACAGCTTCTCACTAACTACTATGAAGAAACGTAACTGTCCCAGATGAAACCAGGACATGAAGCCACTACAGAAGCTATCTAAGCCTGCATCAGTGAACTTTGGTGGTGCCATCAGTGTTTCCTGCACTTTTCACAGTGCAAATTCCTTCTAATACACCAGCTCTACTGCTGCTCCTTACTTCCTCCTCTCTCTTTCTGCCCACCTAATCCTCTCCAAATATAACTCCAAACAAAAACCTGATCCACTATGCCAACTGCAACAATTCCATATGCATGGCCTCCATACGCATATTTCAAAGAGACCAGTATACAGCCGTATCTGGTTCTGCACATTCATATCATCACTTACAGATAGCCCATGTGTCTGCTGCTGTCTATATGACAAAAGGTAACTCCAGTCTTGTCTACTTGTGCAACAGGTGACAGTGGTGCTAGTCTAGCAGGAACTCCAAGCTATCTCACTTACTGCAAAAAACAGGAGACAGCTAGTAGAACCTTGCTGAGCCACACCTCACCTGCTCTGCCTGTCCATATGTACGTGTGAAACTGGACCTTTACTAAGTGACTATGCAACGTACTCAATACAGAATTTTGTCATTTTTTCACCCTGGTAGGCGGCTAAAAGAAAGGGTGATGACCCACAGACTAGAAATGGGAGCCAAGTCTTCATGTCAGAT